CCTTCAAAACTCCAGCTTCTACCAATTACCCAGTTCCAAAGTTACTCCACATTGTTAGGGTTTTGTCATAGTAAAACTCCTCCTCTCAGAACCAAAAAATCTTAGCTCAGGCTGCTATGACAAAATACCATAGACTGGGTGGCTTAAACAACAGACATTTACTTCTCATGGTTCTGGAGGCTGAGAAGTCCAAGGTCAAGGTGCCCGCACATTTGGTTCCTGGTGAGGGTGCTCGTCTTGGCTTGTAGATGGCCGCCTTCCTCACATAGCAGACACATCACGGGGGGACTCACACTCAAGACCTCATCTAACTATATTTATCTCCCAAAGACCCCATTTCCAAATACAATCACATTGAAGGTTAGAGCTTCAACATATGAATTGGGGCTGGGGGTGGGGACATAAAGTTTCTGCCCATAATAAGTATTTAGGAATTAATGTCTACAATATATACAATTTATTCTCAAATGAAAAAATATTACAAAGAATGAACAGAGCAGATAATACAGCAATGGGGTAAAAAGAAAAAATAGTAAGTGCATCTGGATAAAGAGTATACGGGCACTCTTTGTATTAGACATTATTGCAACTTTTCTGAAAGTATTAAAGTATTTCCAAATAACAAGTTCAAAAAATTTTTTTAAAGAATTTGGAGAAGTTTGGAGGCAGTCCACTGAGTGAGCAGAAGGTTCTCTAGACTATACTTCATTCAACAAATATTTATTGCACATTTACTATGCAATGGGCACTGCTCCTGGCACATGCGCATATGAGTGAACAAAACAGACAAACACACCTCCTCTCGGAGACCAGACGTCACGGTGGCAGAGCTAGGCAACAAGTGAGATGGGCAACTAGGATGATGGGAGTGAGAGGTGTGGACTGGGAAGGTGCCAGCAGAGAGCCAGGGAGGAGCCTAACCCAGCTGTGAGGAGGCCTTCATCCTGCCCTGGGCCTGCCATTACCCTCTGGGCATTGTGCAGGCCACCTTCTCTTCCCAGGCCTGGGTTGTGTCGCTTGGAAAATGAAATGACCCGAGGAGACCCTGGGCTCCACAAGGGCAGGGAGCATGTCTGTCTCTGTTTTACTGCTGTTGTGGGCTGCTCAATTCCAGCTCCCTACATAGAGGCTGGCACAGGGCAGGTGATTAAATAGGAACTTCTGGAATGAATTCATGGCTTGTTGATCTTCAAAGTCCTTTTAAGCTCTGTGAATTCCAGTACTGCTCGAATCACCACAGAGGATGTCCTATCACATCAGACATCACGTCAGATTCTACAGACATTTAAAAGGATGATGAGGGAAATAAGTAAATCTTTTACAAAAAGATAATGAGGGCATATTATGAACGTTATGCCAATAAATTCTATGACTTAGAAGAAATGAACAAATTCCTTGAAGGACACGAATTGCCAAAGCTTGGTCAGAAAGGAACAGGCAACACGAACAGTCCTAAATCTATTAAAGAAATTGAATTTGTAGCTAAAAAACTTCCCACAAGGTAAATTATAGGCCTAGAAGGCTTTCCTGGCAACTCTACCAAACATTCAAAAAAAGAGAAATACCAGTTCTATACAAACTCTTCCAGAAAATTGGCAAACCAACCTCCCTCCAAATCCCACCTCTCTCGAGTCCTTTCTGCCCTCCCCTGAGCAAGTCACTCAGACTCTTTGAACCTTGGTGTCCTCACAGAAAACGGTGGTTGGTAATCACACCTCACAGCATTGCCCCAAAGGTCCCATGAGATAAGGTACGTATGGGCCTCAGACGGAAGAAGTATTGAACAAGCGGCACCAGCTATGGTCTCAGGATAAGCCCCCGGGAGTGATCTGAGAATGTCCCGGTTGAAGTCCAATCAGGACACCCTGTTGCCATGCACGGGACATGGGCTTTCTCTCCCCAACCTGGAAGAGAGCTGCTTAGGCAAACCTACCATGGCCTTAAATGAAATCTTTGCAGGATGGAGATTCACCTCTTCACTCACCACCTGGAAAAGATGCCTAAGAAGGGGGTAGCCTCCCAAACCCAAGAGATTTTTTAGGGCTCCTCCATGCTCCCTCTTCTCGATTGCTGCCACATACCAATCTGGAGGTCATACCCATTCTTTCTGAAGTCACGCTCTCCAGCCCCAAAGTGGTCCGCACGGCCTGGAAATCCTGCTCCGTTCCTCTGGCTGGCTCCTTCCTCTGCTCTCCTCACGCCAAGCCTTCTTTGCTCAAACCTCCTCTACGGAAACCCCTCTTCCCATCAGCCTCCTGACAAAAAGCCTCCCTTTCTCTACATCCTACTCTGCGCGGAAAATAGCAGCCCTTTCATCCTTCCACTACAAATGGCCTCCAGCTACACCTTTCCTAGCCTTCTTCCCTTCTGACTTCCCTCCTGTGGGGCTTGATCCTCGGTGGGGCTTTAGGTCAATCCCTCCTCCCCATCACTTACTTTTTGTCCCTTCTCTTCAGTATATTCAGTTTCCCCCTCTATCAACTGGTTCCTCCTCGTTGACTTAAAAAAAATGTTATGGTGGTAAAACACACATAACAGAAAGTGTACCATATCCCCCATTTTGAAGGGTACAGCTCAGTGGCATTAAGTACATTCATGCTGTTATACAATCATCACCACCATACATGTCCAGAACTTCCTCATCTACCCAAACTGGAACTCTCTAAACATTAAACGATAATTCCTCACCACCCCCAGGCCCCGGAAACCACCGTTCTACTTTTCTGTCTATGAATCGGACTCCTCCAGGAACCTCACGTAGGTACACGCATACAGTATGTGCCCTCTTGTGACTGTCTTCCCACTGACTTTCAAACGTACTCAATTCTCTGCGATCTAAAAAAAATGAAAAGAACAGAAACAGGCCCTGGAACCCTCGACTCTATGGCTCTTGCCCTACTGCTCTTCTGCCCTTCAGAGCCAGCCTTCTCGAAAGAACTACCCGCACTGGCCTTCCTCATTCTTCACATTCATTGTGGCACGCACTCCTGACCCTACGCCCCAGTGGCTTCTGGCTCCGCGGCTCTCCCAGGCAGCTGCTGCCGGAGGTCACGGGTGGCCTCCCTCTTGCCGAAGAGAGAACAGTGCTTTTCGGCCTCACCTCGGTGCTGACTACCCCCCTCTTCCTGTGTTTGTTACCCAGAGCCCCTGCAGAGACTTTCTGTCTACACGCGGTCTCTCGTGCTCTCATTCGGCCCCGCCGTCTCACTGCCTCAGATACAGATGACTGGCAAATTCTGCCCCCCAGCGCAGAGCTCTCCGCGGAACTCCAGCCCCCTCTGTACAGCTAGCTGCCTGCTTGACATCTCTTCACAGGTATCCACGGGCAGCTCAGATCAACGCTCTCCAGAACCACAGTTTTTATCCCGCCCTCCGTCTGACCCCAGCCCACACAACCCGAAACGTCTTCAAGCACTTGCAATACCAGGTGCTCCAGCTGGCCAGCCACACGAGCCAGCAACCCAGTAGCACTGGCGGCCCCTCTCCCTTCACCCCTCGCCGCAGCCCCATGAACGCCTCTGGCCCACACATGCCAAATAGCTGTCGGATGCAGGCCCTTCTCACATTCACCCTCATTTCTCGTGTGCAGCAACTGCCAGTCTTTCCCCGCAAGAGCCTCCTAACTGTGTCTCTCCAGGGGCCACAGGGCCTCTGAGCAGATGGACGCCAGCAATGTTTGCAGAGTGCGAGTCTGGTCGTGCCACAGAGAATATCTCCTGACCACGGCGCCAGGATGTGGCTCCTCCTTACCTTCAGCCTCCGTGTTCACCACACCCCCCATGCACCCCCCTGCCCCCGGGGCCCTGGCCTGCCCCCTCCCACACGTGGCCTCACCTAGGCTGTTGTCTCTTCAGGAGAGACCCTAGCCCTTCTCATTCTCCACGCCTACACGGCTGTCTCATCTCCTCCAGGCTCCTGACGTCCCTGATATGGGCTCTGAGAGCACCTTGATCCTGTCCCTTGTAGTTCTCCGTTGCAACTGTCTATCTCTCTGCGTGAGGATTGACTGTAGCCGTAGGTGGTGGCCCGCGAAGGGGCCCAGCCTGCCGGGCTCCCCAAACCCATCTCAGCGTCGGCCCACATGAACGCAAGAGTAGCTATCCTCCACTGACGTACGTGCCGGGTACTAGCTGCTCTGCATGGTCTTCTCGCTCATTCCTCCTAACAACCCTGTGCTGTGGAGAAGGTACTGCTATTCTCCCCTCTCCACACACGAACAAATGGAGGCATAAGTAACTGACGCAAGATCACTTAGCTATTAAGAGACAGAGCCAGGGTCTCAACCCTAGGCAGGCTGACTGCAGATCTATGTATTGACTACCACATTCTACTCAGTCCTGTCCATATTTGTGAAAGGGTTGGGGGGAGGGAGGCAAAGGTGGATTCAGAAATAGACGTTACACTGTAGCACTTCTTGAGGCGCTCTCCAGCTCCAGGATTTCTCTGGGGCACGAGAAGGAAAAGGAGAAAGAAGGGAAAGCTCATCCCACCTCCTCTGCCTTATTTTCTAGACTTGCCAGAGTCCAAGCAGCCATGAAGCTCCAGCCTCATCTCCCTCTATAGGGCAACACAAATCCATCCCCACCCCCACACCAGCCAGACCTGTTTGGATATCTCCCTCATTTCCCATGTGTCTCTGTCCTGCCAATACCACTTCTTAGAATGCCTCCCTATTACTATTTCTCCAAATCCCGCCCATATTTCAAAGTCTAGCTCTGGTGCCATGTCCTCCAGAGAGTCTCCTGCTGACCAATCTATTTCTTTTAATCTGCCCTCTTAGAGTTTATAATAAAAGTAATATAAAAGCCCAAAATATAAGGTTGAATAATAAATAGGAATTGAAAGCACATAGAGTCCACTGAGGATATTGCAATGACAGAAAGTGATATCATCATCAAGGGATTTGAGAAAGAACAGAAAACAAGATGGCAGCCACTTGCAAAGAAGTTAAGTTGATCAATCCAAGTTCCTTCATACAAAGGTTCCTAGCACTGTGGGCCTCAGATGGAAAGTGGACCATGCAAGAAGCAGCTTCTGCCCAGCTGGTGAGTTCCTGAGGGGCAAGCAGTGAAGAGATCTGAGAGAAACGGAAGTGGAGCCTTATGGCAGAGGAGTGGAGAAATGCAGGTGTATTGGAACAGTACTGAAAGGGCACTTATGTTCACTCCCAGGGTGTGCTCCATGCCCATGGAGTCCTAGGCAATGTACAGAGATTATACATTGACATAAAAACACCTGAGGTTTATGTGTTTATGCAGAAAACAATAAACATCGATGGTCGTGAGTGAGGTGAATGGGTTTGCAGACCTCTCACACTAGTTTTGATATATGTGTCATCCAGTTTTGTTTTTGTTTGTTTGTTTTTTACCACTAATTAAAATCTATTAACAGAACTTTGTGGCAAGGGTATTTCTCAAGTCCCCATTAGTTTTGAGAAATCAGTGTATACCACCTGGAAATACTTCAGGAAACTAATTCTCTAGGGGAATTCATGAGGCAATACGTGAATTCGAGCGCCATGTAACACATCATCATCTAGTGATGATGTGTTACGATACTTGTATACTATTTTACAGCTTATCAAACACGCCCACATTCATTGCTTCACTTACGTTCCCCAGCATCCCTCACTCTGATATTCTCTGCCATGTTGTCCCTCATGCAATATTCCCGATAAAACCTGGCAGCTATGGGGACAGCAGAACTCTCCTTTCTCGGGGCACTGGACACCTCTGTTAATGCCACCTAATGCCACAGGGGCTTTATCATGAACACATCCCCACTTTGGGTCTTGGACTCCAGGACTCAGGAAGGTCACGGGACTTAATTAACTTGGCGGCTCTGATGTGCTCCCAGCAAGTGGGGTCTACATTAGAGCCCACACTGTGGTCCTTCTCTCACTCCAGATCTGCACAGAAGAAATTTTACCTGAGAGTTCATCAGGCGAATGGTGGTTTTCGTGCCCACATCTTGTTGGAAACTGGCTGTGGGTGCCCCATTAAACCTCAGGACTGCGTCATGATCGTCTATAAACCACAAGGAAACAGAAAAGAGGTGATGAGCGCCAGCAACATGCAGAAAAAGAGGAAGTTCTAGAGGGAGAGAGGGCAGGAAGAAGGGGAGGGGCAAGAGAATCATACTTCTCAGTCTTTATCCCATCATGATCCCCATCAGAGGGGAAAAGGATCATATTTGTATGGGGCAACCTGGCACAGTTTGTAGACAGAGATGACCGACCGTCCGCCTGGCCACTGCAGAAGCTAACAAGGCTCATACCGGGCATCCCTGAAATCCCTTCCATGACTCTAGTGTGCCTTAACATGGCAGAGAGGTGACCAGGGCTGGTGTGCTACCTCATGTGGAATAGCTATCCCAGCCACCAAAGGAGTAACCCAAATATTCTCTTGGTATTACCAGTAGGTCATACTTCCATCCCTGTCAGAAAAAGGAAGATGCTACCATAAGCTCGGTGTCACCCACAAGTGCAAAGTCCTCATAGCACTCTGAGAAGCTTGCAGTGCTCAGCAAATCGGAGGGATTTACTATGGTTTCCAAGACAACTCCCTAAGTGTGCTATTAGGAACCTGAGGCCCAGGAAGGGTCACAAGCCTGGGTGGTGGCAGAGGTGGAAAAAGAGGTCATAGATCAAAACTGAATCCCACATTTTCTATCGAAAAAGAAAAACTCTTTGCCAGAAACAATGCCCTAAATCCAGGCAAGATCAAACAGACCATGTTTTTAAAAATCCATTCACTCCCTGGCTCTAGTTCCCTGTGACCGTAGCTGTTTCAGCAGAGTTTGGAAGACTTGGAGAAGTTTCTCTGTGTGGCACTGACCAATCTTCTGGGGGAGAGAACTAATGACTTTTAAGATCTATCTCAACCTTGAGCCAACCTCCTAGGAGCTCATCCCAACCTGACTTGATCAAGCAAGTCTGAGGATCACCACTGAAATCTGCACAAGGTTTGGAGGTCAGCCCAATTTTCTGTTGTTCTATTTCCCTCCCTGTGGGAAATTTATTTGGGGTGGCTCAATACAAGATGATCTGAAAAAAGAATACTCACAGAATTAAGGGATGAAAGCCTCCCTCTTTCTTTCATTTCTAACATATGTTTTGAACCTCAGGAATCTAGACATACCATCTAGTCACAAAAACAACCCTGTCTCAATCCTAGGGCAAATTTCATCAAGATGGTTTGAAAATTACATGAGATGTGCAGAGTCCAAACTTTATCAGCTTACAGGGCAGGCACCCTGAACTTCAAATAGGGCAGAAGGCACACCTTTACACAACTCAGATTGCAACACGTTTGTCAGTATCAGTCACTGTCTGCAAAAGTGACCAGGCAGTAATCACACCAGGGACGCAGATCCATAAGAAACGTCACTCGGTCAGCTTCCCCATTTCACAGGTGAGCAAATTATTAGTGTGGGCATCCCAGCACCACAACATGACAAAGTCAGATGGAGTCACTGAGAAGAAAAGTCACTGAATAAAAGGACTATTTACAACGTTGTAGGTAGGATTTCAAGAAATCAACAAGGAATGGCCAATACCCCGGGGTGGGCTGCAGAAGCGGCCCCTACAACCCCCCACATCTGATGTGGCCAGAAGAGCAGGGGCCCTGAACTGAAGATGGCCACCTGTCGGGAGTGGTGGCCCTGAGGGGAACACGGCTCCTGCTAACGTCCAGCCGGCAAGAAGGGAATCAATACCCCATCTGCTCTTTCCTCCTTCCCTCTGACTTCTTGGCCTGAGGGAAGAGAGAGAGAGAGAGAGAGCAGGCCTCAGACAGAGAGGCTGCTTGAAAGGGGCTGAACTTTGAGCCGAGGGAAAGCAGCAGCCCGTGGGTATTCTGCAAGGAGAGAGCTGGGGGGACAGACACCCCGACTTCACTCTCCTCCTTCTCAGTTTTGGAGCAGCACTTCTGTTGTCCAGACCCACATAAAAGCCTGAGGGCCAGGAAGCCCAGTTGACACAGTCCCAAATTCAATTTCCCCGGGCACAGAGTCCAACAGAAAAGGGAGGAGCGTGGGTTGGGAGGCGTAATGGAGAACACCCAGCACCGGAGGCTGACGATCCATCCTTGGTATTGACCATAAGAAAAGAAAATGCTTTTGTTCACTCAACAAATCCTGATTAAGCCCCTCCTCCCCATCAAGCACAGTTCTAGGTGCCGGAGACAATGGCCGTGAACAAGAAAGACAAGGTCCTTGCTCTCAGAGATTTTGCAATCTACAGCAAGGAGGGAGCCAATAAATACAACCACCAACACTTGAGATAATGACAGACTGTGGCTGATGTTATGGCACAAATAAACTAAGCGGTGTGACAGAGACGCTGAGGGAATCTCCTCTGGAGAGAGTGATGATTCAGGACACGCCTCGGAGCTGAACCCAAAGGAGGGCAGAGCACGGGAAGGGTTCAGGGAAGTATATTCCAGCCAGAGGATGCGGCACTGTCAGGACCCCAAGGGCAATAAGGACTCAGCTGGAGACAAGTGAGGCTGGAGACAAGTGCGTGAGGGCAAGAGAAAGAAAAGACGTAGCTACAAAAGCTGGCAGGAACCAGGCCACACAGGCTGTGGAGGCCAGGTATGAAATTTGGACTTTATTCTAAGAAGAAAAAAAAAAAATCAGTCAAAGAAGAAAACTTTCAAACAGGCCGCTAAGTTCATAAAGAAAGAGGAGAGCATCCTTGTTGGCCAAACTGTCCTTTGCTATTGAAGGCGGAAGAAGTTCTGAAATCAAATGGGCCTCCAGGAAGTCACCAGGAAAAATCCACAGCTCCCAGGAGCCCAGCAAACGAGCCTTTGCAAGGGGAAGGCTGCAGAAAACAGGGGCCACCACTTCGGTTGAACTTAGAATTAGAGGACAGGAAAAGACACAAATTAGAAAATGCAGAAATAAATGCGCCATGATATGCACAGGATACAACTGCATGCCTAGACTACTCAACAGAATCGGCTCCTTAGTGAGTTCATCAATACGCCCAAATCCACTGCCTCTGGGTATGGTAACTCTAAGTAGCTGGAAATTGTTATGAAAGAAATTTTATCACAATTTAGACCAAGCTTTTTTTATATTTTCAAAGTAGCTTAATGAATCATATAATCATATTTGGAAGGCTATATTCTGGTCCTGGTTAGGTAAACTCGATATAATATAGATCCGGGCCGGGAAATTATGGCCTGAAGGACAAATCTGGCCTGTTCTCTGTTTTTGTAAATAAAGTTTTACTGAAACATAGCCAGGCCCATTCATTTACTATGGTCTAGTTTGCTTTTGCACAAAGACAGCCGAGCTGAGGAGCTGTGAGAGACACTGTATGGCCTCAAAACCAAAAGTATTTGCTGTCTGGCCCTTCACAGGAAATGTTCGCTGACCCCTGATATAAACAATCATACTTTCTGAGCTCCACAACCCAAGGATGTCTTCTCAGTCCTCACTCTGCACAAGAACCCCATCCGCCCCAACTCTGCCCAAACTCCACTCCCCTTGCCTTCCATCATATGGCAAACACCTGCTTCTCCCTGGGCCTTCTCACCGGCCTTCTGAATGTCTCTGCCTTCCCTGTGCTTTTCCCTGTCTCTTAAATGTACACTTTCCCTAGGCTTTCTCCTCAGCCCTCTCTCCTGGACTGCAACTGTCACCTCGGGACAAATGATTCCTCAATCTCATCTCCTCCCGCCTGACCCTTCCCTGGAATCAAATACCCAACCGCATAGATATCTACTCAGGGAAATCCACAAATACTTCAGATTCAGCGCCTCCGACACACACCTGTCCTCCTCCAGAAGCATGCTCCCCCGTAATATGAGATCGCTCGCTTCCAGGCTAGAAACCCCGGCTCCCACCTGTCACTCAAGGTCATTTCTAGTTAGACACCAATTTCTGTCTCTTCTCAAATCAAACTCGTTCTTTCCACCACCATGATCACCGCTCAAACAGGCCTGGTACTTCTCAGCCGGAAGTGGCAGTAATCCCTAATAATAGATTACATAGCAGTCCCCATAGACAAGGGGTTCAGAGAAATGAGAAATCTCTCCAAAACACACATGATCCCATTACCTGCTCACTCAAATTCCTTCTAGGACTCCTGGCTTAAAGAATGAAACCCAAAGTCTCGATTGTGACTGTCAACTTTCTGTAGGAGCTGACCCCTGCCTACCTTTCTGGCCTTACTCCTCAGCCCCCTTCACCCTGCAGGGTCCCACATCCCAGCCCAACACACTCTGCACTCTTCCCCCACGCAGCCTTTGCTTCTTGCTTTTGCCTCAACTCAGAATGCGCTTCTCCTTCCCTGTAGGAGAGCAAGGAAGCAAGAATATCATGGGATTTTTTTTTAACCTGACAAGGGATTCATCACACCAGAAATTTTATTATAAAGCAACAACACAGGCGCCAAGAGCAGAGGGGATGAGCATGTGGGCCTTGGAGTCGAAGGCCCCGGTTTCAAGTCCCAGTCCACTATTCACCAGTTGTATGATCTCTGAGACTCAACATTTAGCTCACCAGTTCACTGGGAACAATAATCGTCCCCATATCACAGAATTTCTGGAAGGATTCAAAGGCAAGGCGCGCTAGGCTCACAGCAGGTGCTCGATAAGCATTACTCCTGTCGGTCATAATGTTTTACAAATATGCTATTGTTTGACATGAAAACTCAAGCCAATCTAAGATACCTTACGGGTACATGTATCCAAAATAATTGAAAATGGCCGTGCCCACCGCTGGCTGGCTTGAGGGACTGCTGGAGACACAGTACATTATTACAATCCCTCCCGTAAACAATTATGCAATGGACTAAAAAGAGCCACAAAACTTATCTTACTTTGGTCTAGCCCCATGGCTGGGGATATTTCCCCTTTAGGCAGTTAAGTCATCTGCGCAAAAACCCTGTTAGCAGTACATTTTGTAAGAGCAAACAATTTAAAGCCATCCAATACGCTCAATAGTCAGCAATAAGCGGGACAAATTGCAGGTATAGTGGAAAGGCCGTGGGCCTGTCATGCTGCCTGATACTCCCAGGCCTTCAGCAAGGGCCTGTCATGCTGCCTGATACTCCCAGGCCTTCAGCAAAGGGCCTTCCCAGTCTCTCTCCCCTTTGTATTCTAAGCTCCTGCTCCATGAGGTTGAAAGCTCCATGAATGAATACAAGAATGAATGAATTCCTTAAAACATTTTTTAGACTAAATGCCCAGGGGAATGCCCTATTGAAAGAGCAGAACACTGGAAGTCCAACATGCAATGTTCGTTACATCTCAAGAGCAAAGTCTTTCTAGGGAAATACATACTTGAAATTCTAACTGTAGTCTACAGAAAAAGTTTATTTTACTGTGTACGTAAATCACTCCAAACTTTCACGGAGTGCATCAAGATTGTAGTTCTGATTCATAGAAGTATCGGGCTCTGCCGGAAATTGTAACCCAGTTCTGGCCAGGCTGTCAGTGATGAGTTTACATGAAGAAGAGGATCCGCTAGCCCCTGGGATATTCGAAACATTACCATTACAGAGCAAAAATCAGGAAGAAAGAAAGGAATTTAGTTACATTATGGGTGAACAAAAACCAGTCACACTGAGCTTCTAGAAAACAAAGTCCAAAAGAAACCAAAAAGGCAAAAGCAAAAGTTGGGGCAGGGCCAGTTATCTTGGCAGCCTTTATTAGTGAGTGCTGCCTATTTGGGAAGGCACAGAATGTGATCTCACCACTTCTTCCTGCTCCAGAGAATCCAATTTGGGTCTCCTCTCCTGTTCTTCCTTTGAGAGCCTGTGCTTGGTTTCAGACCCTTTTTCCTGGCAGTCACAGGAAGGGAATAAAACAGGAGACGGATGACCTCACCTGCTCCAGTACCTTCCAGAGCCTGCAAGAAGAGCAAGGCTTTCTGTGCTATGCTTCCTTTAGCCTGATTCATTTCACAATAATGGAAAACACATTCTCTCAAAATAAGGGAACTAGGGAGCCCTAAGCCCAAAGCCCTAAGCTTTGTGTTGTACACATGTTTACAAACATGGACAGACCTTCCATCTTTATTAACTGTGAAGGATTTAAAAAAAAAAAAAGCAAGTTGATATATTCTGACCGGTGACTTTTAGCCTTTTTTGGTTCACAGACACCTCTGAGAATAATCGACTGGAAGCTATGGACTTTTTCTCTGGAAAAATGTACAGACTGACTTACCACACACACACACACACACACACACACACACTGTATGCACACCTAATCCACAGGGATTTTGCACACAGCTTTAGGGATTCGTGAACCCCCTAAAGTTGGTCCACAGTCCCCAAGTTAAGAATTCCTACTCTAATTAATGATCCTCAAACAGAAAGGCTGAAAATTATTCAGGTAGTTAAAGCCAAGAGAGACAATTAATGCTCAACTAGCCAGTAAAATTACAGAATTTCAGGACCAGAAGAGATCGGAGAAATCAGTGCTTCTATTATTTTTAGAAGTCAGTTCCAGTGTGGTGCCTATCGGTAGCGGCAGAACTCACTTTTCCAACAATATCTTCTGTAGAACAGCACTATTCTTTTTCAAAGATTTTATTTATTCATTTGAGACACAGAGATACAGAGAGAGAGAGCATGAGCAGGGGGAGAGGGAGAAGCAGGCTTCCCGCTGAGCAGGGAGCCCGATATGGGGCTCGATCCCAGAACCCCGGGATCACGACCCGAGCTGAAGGCAGTCGCCCAACCAACTGAGCCACCCAGGCACCCCAGAACAGCACTATTTAAAACAGAGAAAAGCAAAGCTGTTCTCACTGATAAAGATGCCGGGAGCCTGGATGGATCCCCACCCGTTCGGCTGCCCCCGGGGTACCTCTCAGTCACGCGAGAAGGCTGCAAAACTCTGCGGTGGGCCCACTGTGCTAGGTCACAAGCCCTACTTGGGCTGCTCCTTTCTAGTCCCAACCACACACTCGGCCCCAGAGGAGCAGCCCTAACACCCCAGAACCCACCTATTTCTCGGCCCAGCTGGGAGGACTTCAGCGATCCGGCTGATGAGACAACAGCACACCTGCCCCATGGCCCAGCCTTGGTCCTGATGTTCTCCTTGGGCAGGAAACCCTCCCATTCAGAGGTGTTGAAGGGAAAATCTGTGGCCTCTACCATGGAGACGTTCACATGGTCCCGGAGGTGGCAGTGCAGGGCCTCTGCGCTGAACTTGACACCGGGCCCTGGCCCCTTATAGGACACTTTGTACTTGTTCATATTCAGATAATTCCTCCAGATCTTCTGCAGCCTGGGGACGAGGTTTTTGGAAGAGCTGTCCTTGTTCCACACCTGGAAGGAGACCTGAGGCTTGGCCTTGGCTGGGCCCCGGGGACTGCTGAGGGCCTGGCGGCCCCTGGGGGAATTCTGGGTGCTGCTGGAAGTCACAGCCTGTTTCTCCAGACCTCTCAACAGCTGGAATTCCTTGGTTTCCAACTTAAGGGAATCATAGTAACTCCCTTTCTTCTTCTCCTTCCACACACAGATGACTGCAAACAGGAGAAAGGCCAGCACGCAGCAGCTGAACTTTTTCTTCAGGTTGGTGTGAATCATAATGAAAGATGTGTTCAGGGCAGCCACTCTGTTCTGAGCAGAAAACAAGCCTAGAAAAGGTAGGATGAGGCAAAAAAAACAAAAGACAAAAAACAAAAAAACAAAAAAAACCGATGTGAACAAAATCTAAAAGTAGTGACAGGCAAGAGGTGGAGTGATGAGCTGGGCAATGGATTCAGAGTGAGGAGACTCACTTCCAGCCTTTGGTCTACCTCCCACCAGGCCTGCAGCCTGCAACAACTTGAAGTAAACATTCGGCCTCAGTTTGGGCTTTGAATGTAGACAGCAGTCCTCAGACACTCCCCTTTTCCTCTCCGAGCCATGAACACTTTCTGTATTCTCCTGCCATTCCTTTTTACACCCTAACTCTTAGTTTTGTGTTGTCTTGGTCTAGATCCCTGACTGCACCCTGAGCTTGGTGAGGTCAGGAACCACAGCTTACACACCACTGGACTCCTGGGGCCTTATGCTGTGTGTTCAATGAACACATGCATACTTGAAAAACTAGGAGGAAAAAGGAAGAGCAGGATGACTGGTCTACCTCACAAGAATCCAAACTCCCTAAAATCCTAAGGGGCCCAGCATCCTTTTAAAATTGCCAGACCTCTGTCCACAGACAGTGCCATAGACCTGTGACACATCTCTCTAAGGGTTGTGATGTTGGACTCCTGCTTGAGAAGAAAACCAGTAGTTAGCTTACAGCATAACACCTGGCTTCACAGAGTGCCCTGCGAGAGTACTATCAAGTGGCAGGAAGCTGCCTCATCTCATGGTAAAGGAGAGGAAATCTTGGTAAGACAGCAGACACGTGACAAATTAAGGAGATAAAAACAAAGATGCATCAAGTAAGATGTTATTTCACCTAATTTCTCCATAGACCAGGGCCCCGCCACGTACAGCTCCAGCCGGCACCATGTATGTACATGATAGTCTAGTAGGAAGGGCAACCCCTGAGCTGTGCAGAGAGGCCTGACCATCACTAGCCAGGAAGGTGTTACAATCTCCGTACTATAGATTAGCAGCCTAAGGCTCTGAGAGGTTAAGAGAAGTGCCTAGGATCACAAAGCTGAGTAAACGGTAGCACTAAAGTTCAAATCCAAGAGCACTTGATTCCATAATCCATGTCCTTTTCAGCATAAGCATTCACAGAACTGCTGAACGTTCTGGCAAATGGATTTTATTACAAAAATAGAGCCTCATAGTCCCCTTTATATCTGGGTAAAGCCCTACTTTGTTTTCTCAGAATTTATTGCGTAACTGAATGGAAGATGGAAGTACTTTGAACTCAAACAATGTCTGTATCTTCTGGAAAACATTAAATTCTTTCTTAAATAACTGGGTTTATTTACTGTAGTGAGTCTAAGCAATCACCCCTGGGGTTTTGCTAACCCACTAGGGATCCATAGTTCCTTCCTATGGAGCCCAGTGCTAAGGATATCCGGGACAAGGGGTAAAAGTACTGGACTAGGTATTCACAAAACCTGGGTTTCCCCCCCATTCTTGGTGACTTTGGACAAGTCACTAAACCTGCCTCTACCTAGGTTTTCTGTAGAATAATCTCTCACTCATGGAGTTCTGGGATGACCAGCAGAAATGGTATTTGAACTAAGTCATTGCGAAGGCACAGGAAGTGTTCTGAGCAGAGACCAGAGAGTAGCCCCTTTGGCTGGAGGTCATGTGGAGGCAGTGCGGGACAGGGAGAGATGGCAGAGTGGAACACTGGCCATGACTCATCAACCCAAGCTCACGTCCTCATCTGAGACTCTTTAATGTAAGTGACATCCAGACCATTCCTGGAATCTATGGGCAGACCAAATCGTGCTTCTCACCACCCCGGACTTCAGGAACGGGTGGCTCTGGGGAGAATGGGCGCTTGCCTTGAGCTGCGGAAGTGTGGGAAGTGACAGAATGTACACAGAGGGAGAAAAATTCAAACGTGTGGTCGTGAAATGGGGGAGGGGGTTTTGTGGCAGGTCAGAAAACTGATCCCATGGCTACGAGAGCTAAAGAACTCAAGAAGAAGGGAATGGAGCATTTAAGAAGTGCCTACAAGATGGTAGGCTCTTTAGCTGCAATGTCGGATTTCGTATTCACTGCAACACTATGGCATAGTATCCACAGCCCCACTGGAGAAAATGAAAACACTGAGGCTTAGCACAGGGCTTCTCCAAGGTCAACAGGTAGTCAGTGCCAGAACCGGATTCCAACCTAGGTCTGTCTGACTCTAAAAGTTCATGGTCTTGGCACTAAAAGGCATCTGTATTAAAAGACAGTGAAAAGTCAGCATTGACCAAACAGGACTCAGAAATTAGGGGCTCTGCAGGAACAAGTCACTCAGCCAGGCAATCCCAGAAAAACCCCCTTGGCCATGGGCATGCCCCAGCCCTCACCCTCGGGCACTGTTTTCCCCTCAGGCGGCCCCTTCACAGTAACAGCCTTACGAGACCCAGAACAACCCTGTCACGTAAGCAGAGCAAATTGTATTGGCTCCATTTATAGTTGAAAAAACTGAGGTTTTATACCTATCGATTTATTACTTATTTATTTGATCTCCAAAGTTGCACGAGTGATTTGGAAGTGGTGCAGTTAAGAGTTGGGACTTAACTCTCCTTGTGTATGTGTGAATGAGACAGGAGATAAGGAGGCGGGACCCGATTCACCGTTAAGGCTCGGAAGGGGATGGTGGTCACCTTCCTGCCAGCACCTATCCTCCAAGGTTGAGGGTCCCAGAAAAGACGAGCTCCTCCAAAGAGCCCTGCACAAGGGTCCTGCCACTTTAAGACAGCGTTAGCCTTCAAGGTCATGGCCCTGGGACACTCATCTGAAAGCTCACCTTGGGGCTCCCCAGGTGTCCCGACACCACCCTCTGTTGAGGCTCCAAGTCTACTCTCTGGCTGGAGCTTCTGCTCATAGACAACAAAGAGCTCCAAGACCCTTTATCCCCTCTCCAACTTCTCTAAAGAGACAGGGACCAAGGAGGTTCCCTCTAAGCAGCCCAAACGGAAGGAAAGGAGTAGTAAATTTTTCTCCCCTAATTCTTTGGGAAAACATATCAAGCTTTGGATTTTCCAGATGTCTTAGCCTCTGGGCCTTTGCACTGCTGTCGTCTCTCCCTTGTCCACTTGCCTGGCAACCAGACAGGGTTAACTTTCTGCTTCCGGCCTCCCATGGAGCACCCACTCCCCCTTCATTTCTAATGTTTAGCAATGCTCGCTTTTCCTGCTGACCCTGCTAGAGGGGAACTCCTCCTGGCTCATGCCTGAAACCCCAGCATCCAGCACAGTCCCCGAAATGGACTGGGTTTTCAATAAAGCATTACTGAACTGATGCTACTATATCAATAAATCCTTACTACCCCCACTGGGCTTCTAGAAGAATCCAGTACCACCCACATTGTCACCTATAAAGAACAAGGCAACCCTGAAGCAACAGAAAGAAAATCTCAAAGTAAGTTTCCTGCCCTGGTTTACTCATCACTACATGCCCAGTACCAAAGGCAGGGCTTGGAACAAAGTAGGTGTTCAAAAAGGGTGGGCTGAATCACAGAATAACTTCAAATCTCACACTTACCGTTTATAGACACAGGCAAACCACCTATCCCCCACCCCCCACTGAATCAGAACTAAACAAATACGTGAAGACAACAGCGAAGCTGTAGTCAGACCTGAAGCTGTAGTCAGACCTCGAGACTCTGTGACTCCTGGCCAGCACACTCTACCACCCCATTTTTTAATTAGGAATGTACCCTTTCGCTGCCCCCATAGCCCATGCCTCCAGGTGTTCCTTACCGCTTTTGGCTAATCCCCCTGGGGCTGCGGGCCCTTCATGTCCTTAGGAACCAGTGCTATTCTCCATGGGAGGAATGTTTGCTTTATTGGGTCTGGAGGCCAAGGCTCATTTTTCTCTGGATGATCAAAAAACATCTGCAAAGGCCAAAAAAACAAAAACAAAAAAAAACCAAAGAGGAGGTAAGAGCTGGTTTCCAGCAGGGGCAGGGTTAAATATTAACAAGGCAGACAGGCCCCTCTGCAAGTTTCCTGGCTTCCACTACAGCTCAATCCAGGAAGCCTGGAGAGCTCAGAAAAAGAAACAGAGACAAGAGCCCATTATACGTGCTGTGCTCAGGGTCGTGAATAGCAGAGAAGGCATAGAAATAGCCTGATACTAGATAAGAACATGCTAGAAGGATAAAGCAGGCACCACAGACCAATCTAGGAAGAAAGGATTGTTCAGTCGCTGGTCACACAAATAGTAATTTGGGGAGAGAAGATTCAGATCATCCCTGAATACACTCTAGACGATTATTTATTATCAAAGAACACCTTATGATATGTGAAATTTCAATCAGTATAATGCTAACTGGAAAAAAATAAGTTGCAAAAGTTGTATATAGTTGTAAATAATATTCTAATCAAATCCAAAAATTTTTTTCTTCAATGTACATGTAAAAAAGAGAAAGGACTAGAAACAAAACAAAATAAGGTAAGCCTGGATGGTAAAATAATGAATGTTTTCATGTTTTACAGTTTCTTGTATATTCCAAAATTTCTCAAATGTATATGCATTACTCTTAGTGTTGGAAAAAAGATTATAAAAATATAATTTTAGAAAGCGTGAAAACAGAATTCTATGTTTGTCAGCTCTTCTGACGGAATGTAGAAAAATAGTAAAAGAAAACTTTGATAGAGTCACTTGCATGAAAACTCCCACTTGTCTCCAAGAAAATGCTGTAATTAAAAGGACAAAAAGAGTCCAGCTGCACAAAGGGTAAAGAGAGTCAAAGCTTCTCAAAATAAACAGGCCCTCCTCGTGAATGGACAAATCACAAAATTGAAAACATAATTAACAGGCATATAAAATTATGGTGAATCTTGAGAGAAGCCCAAATAGGACAACTGGCATGTTAAGATGCCAGTTTATAGAATTTACCTGAGGCAGCAGTTTTCAAAATGATAATACTCATTACTGCCCCGGTTATAATACAATTGGTATATTTTGAGGGAGCAAGTAGAAATTAACTTAACCTTTCTAGAAAGTAACCAGGTCATAGAATTAAGAGCTTTTGACTTGCAGGAAATAAGACAATAAATAAGTGAAAGGAGAACAAGAGGACATATTTTGGTGTCTTCGCACATAAAGGACTCCTGACCTTTCACAGTTGTGGTGAGGTTTGGAAGAGGATCAGTGGGATAAAGAATGAGTTTTATAAAGCAATATGTACATGCAAGAAGAAAAATAGTTTTCAGTTGGGAGATTTCTATTGGTGAAAATCTACGGCTAACAACTAAGGCTTCAGCAAAAGGGAAATAGTTAAACTAGGGTACATCCACCTGATAGAAAGAATATATATATATATACACACATACACACACATATATAACAATATTAATTAATTTAAAATATATAAGGTAATAACATAATATATATAAATAATTGTGTGTGAATTTATGTAGCAATCGGGGGAAAAATTCTTCAAATATTAAAACAAAAAAGTGAAACAGAGAACGTTATCTGTGCATACATCATTGTGACGAAAAGTTACTCAAGTCCAAATATCTAGAAAAAATGTACATGATTGAGACCTGAAAACAGTTGAGGAACAAGCTGAGAGAGGACTTCTCATCTCTCAGTCTGACTTCCTTTATTGTGCTCCTGATGTCAGTGGAGTAATTAAGGCGAAACTGTTGGGGATAATACTGAAAATACCTTGTGTGTCACCTCGATACCCGCTGTCGGGCTGGTCTCCGAGCCTGTCCTAAGAGATGCAGCACTCACAGAGCGCAGAGAAAGCCACGGTGGCCACAGCTGGCTCCCTCCCACGACCGACCGAGGGGGAGGCCCCCGCCCGGCAGGCCTGAGGTTCAGACTGACAGGTGGGCAGGTGTGGACGGGCCGTGGGCCTGTCTGACGGGGCAAAAGTGAGAGGTGTCGTGGTGATCTTTGTCAAAAACTCAGGGCTCTCCTCATCTGTTCAAAGCACTAGCTCTCGGGCAGACTTCTGGGAGAGTGTGAAAATATCTCTGAGAGCCCTACCCCTTTCCCAGTCATGGATGTTACTTTTGTGGCACGAGTTTGCAATTATGCGGGCATTCATATTATTATTTGATTACCGTCTGCCTCCTCTACTAAAAATGGAAACTCCTTCCGTGGAAAGCTTGTCAGCCTTCTTCGCTACTATCTGCAGGGCCTAGAGGAGTATATGGCACGTGGCAGATAACAATTATTTGTGGAGTGAATGAAGGATCACCAGCTCTTAAGAGGTCTGTGCTTTCCTCAGGCATCACTGATGGAAAAGGTTCTTTCTTGGCCCCCTCATGAGGAACACCGCGGGCAGCCCGCTGCTGTTTAGGTGACACCTCTTGCTTATGCTGGTTCACTGCCATCCCCCCAGTAAGTAAGCTGCCGGGGCGTGCGACTTTGGCTTGAGTTCAGTGCCCAGAGAGCAGAGGAGTGCAGCTAACGCAGATCTTCCTCCCCCTTCCAATCACATCTGCTCAGAACAACTTGCCCTCCTAGGACAGAGCAACCACTCCCTGCTCTTGATTTCTAAAAACCAACTAGCTGAAACAAAGTAGCGCAACTGTTGATGTACATCTGTGGTAGGTGATAAGAGTCTTCCAGAAACAGTCACTGCTGCTCATGAGATTGCAGCCTGGTGAACTTCACCCCGCTGCAGAAGTTATAACAGAGTCCTCAATCCTCCGGGTGAGAAACTTTAGCAATCATGACCATAACAGCTACCGTTTATTTAGCACTAGCTCTGTGCTCAGCACTGACTAGCTTCAGGGTTGAGGGTCAGAGCTCTGGGATTAGACAGATCAGGGCAAGAGTCTGTCTCTCACCAGTTACATGACCTCCCACAAGCTACTCAACCCTCTAAGACTCAGCTTCTTTGTCTGTAAAATGGGAATAATAAGAAAAGAGCTGATCTCGTAGGAGTGTTTAAATAATCAAGTAAGGTAATACACCCAAAGGGATCACAATAGGGCTTGTGACAAAAATTTTATGCATCATTTCATTTGCTTCTCACCAGGCCCTACCCTGTGTGTACCATTGCTCTCCCAAATTACAGATAGGGAAACTAAAATAGGCAAGAGGAGTGATTTTCTCAGCGTTAACTCAATTATGGCACTCCAAATGCCCTGTGCTCTTTCGTCTTTTGCTGCCCTGCAAGGAAAGTTCCTCCCGACGAAATGTTCTTTCCTACCCTGTTCACATGGGGTCACACCCACTCAGCACCCGCACCGTCCCTGGCACCAGCTTAAGTGCCCCTGAGCTCTGAACACTTTCTTGACTCCACGGAGGTCGACGCGACTCCAGTGAGCCCGTTCTGGCTCTCAGGACACTATGTGACATTTATCTGCTTGCAGATGGGATATCCCACCCAGACTGACGGTTCCTTTCAGGTTTATTTCTGGCCGCTCTACATCTAGCCAGGTTCTGAGCCAGAAGAGGGACGGGCTCAGTCACGTCTGAATGACAGGATGAAGCTAGCTCTGATACCACCCTTCCCCATCCCCCATGTCCTTCAACTGCTACACCCACACTCACTCACACACCCATCACCTTCGGTTGCTAGAATCCCCTTGGCAGCCCTGTCGCTGCAGATGTTCATTTTGTCTATTGGGTACACTGAGTGACAGGGAATTTATCATCTCCCGGGGGCACACAGAGCTATGTGAACAGCTCTGCCCCTTAGAAGGTCTTAAAATGAAGAGAAATCCCCCCCACACCCCGGCCCTGTAAAAATAACTCCAGTGGGTGAAGCACTGAGACACGCAGAGCCTGTGCTCAGTGCTGAGAACTTCACACGCACCAACTCATTTCACCCTCACACAACCCCGTGCAAACCATGCTGCCTGCTACCTGCCTTGGTGAAGTCATTTCCCCTCCACCAGGACACTCTTCTTCATTCCTTGAATATCTTCGCACCTGGCTCACTATAATCCTCCCCACACTATTTCTGCCCTGCCTTTTGGGGATATCAACGTCCACATTCAGAACCATTCTAGTCCCCTGGTCTCTCAGTTCTTTGTTCTCCTCTACTCCGAAGATGGCGACTTTAGCCACTCACCCCCAACGTCGTATCTCTGATCTTATCATTTTCAACAAGTAACTCCACAGTCTTGATTTCAGGCACCACCATCCTCAATCCCCGCTCCTATCTTTGTAGTTTAGCCCAACTAGTATTGACCTCCAGCTATCTTCCTGTGGTTGCTCCTACCACCTTCTCACTGTCTCCCACTTCCTTCATGCCCTCACTTCCTTTCCTACCCTTCAACTCCATGGTCGGTCATTCAGTTGGCCTCTCTCATCACACAATGTCGGATAAACCCTAATCCTGGTTAAATCCAACTCTCTGTCCTCCTCTACACCTGCAAGTATGCAGCTGCATGGCTAAAGAAAATCACAAAATAATACTTATCGGTTTCACTTCAAGTTCATGACCACTAACTGCAAGTAGCTCCTTCATGCTTCCTAGCAATCACATGTTACTTTTCTGGTCAATTCACCTGCCAGTTTCCTAGAGGACTATCTGACTTTCTCCCCATGAAAAGTTCCCTCATCTTCCCCTTCCCTCGATGAACTTGCTACTTATTCACGGAAAAAGGAAGCTATCAGAATAGAATTACCACACACACAACATACCTTTGTACCACAGCTACTCATCATACTTGCATTCATGCCCAAATGACCTCTTGTTGCTACGGATGAATTGGCTGCACCCAACACTTGGAATACCCAACATTTGTTCCACTAGGTCCTGTATACTCTTATCTACTTAAGGATATTCTTCTACAAAATCTCCCCTTTTTCTTCTGCATCATATGTAGCCCTCTTTCAAAGATCATGCTTATCAGCACACAGACATGCTATTGTTTCTCCTATCTTAAACACATACACACACACACACACACAACACCTCTCTTAAGGCAGCCACCACCTGACCCTGATCAGTCTTAGCATCACTAAGCGTGGGACACCTAACCAGTACGTGCCTTCTGACATGCAGTGACATGTACGTGCAGTGACATGAAGCATACAGCACCACCTCTGAAAAAGTCTCACCTGAAATGTTTAATCTGTATATAATTAAGCCTTTACGTGTAATCCCAGTTTTTAGAAAACACAGGAGAAAGAAGAACAAGTTACAGGACACCACAGAGAAGTTATGAGACAAATCCAGAAAGCAGGGCGTTCTACAGAACAACTGATCTAGTTTCATCAACAGGTCAATGGGCAGGAAAAACAAATGGCTTCAAAGACAAAAATATCACATGCAATGTGCGGACTTTGCTTGAACCTTGATTTGAACAAAACACCACTGGGGATAAATGGGGATATTTGCATATAGATTTGGTATTATATTATACTAAGAAATCATTATTAATTTTGTTAGGTATAACAATAAGTCTTATTTTATTATGATTACATAATCTGGTTATGTTGGTTTTTGGGTTTTTTTTTTTAAGTCCCATGCAGGTGAAGTGGTTAGAGATGAAATCTACTTTAGAACACTTTGGCCAAAACATAGATGAAGCAAATATGAAAAAATGCAATGTCATATAAAAAAACATGTTCAAATTAAGCTATGTAAGGAATAAAGAGTGATTTGCAGACTCTTTTTGGACAATATCATTTGGGAGTGGGCAGAATTTGAAAGAGCTTGAAAAGAAAGTATAGGAGACAATTTTTCTGCTTTGCTGAAGGAATTTGCTGCAAAAGATATACGACTTTACAACAGTCACAGATTTAGCCATGGCACGAGTTCTAAATAACTTTCATTTCCCTGTCCGTCCTGCGCAACTTCTTGACCTCATCTTACCTCCCAGCTCCTGCTTTCTTTCCTTTGCAGTAAAACTCCTTGAAAGAACTGTGTGCAGTCAGTGTCTCTGATTTCCCTCTTCCCATTCGCACTTGAATGCACCCCAACAAGCCTCCCCCATCTCTAGGAAACTGCTCTTGTCCATGGTCACCAAAGACCTTCATGACTCCCGTGTTGCTAAATAAATGGTCAGTTCTCGGTCTTCACCTTGTTCAGCTCATCAGCAGTATTTTACCAAGTTGGTCATTTCCTCCTTCTGGCTTCCAAAACCCACACTCACTCTCCTGGTTTTTCTCCGCCTTACTGGTCATCCCTCAGTAGTCTCCATTGCTCATTCCTCCTCATCTCCCCCATCTCTGTGCACTGAAGTGACCCTAGATTCTATCCTCTGTTCTATTGACACTCGTTTACTGGTTGTGAGCACCCTGTGGCTTGCTTCCTTCCACCCAGCCTGTCGTTTGCACTCAGTACATGTTTGCCGACAGGTACTGAAATGAGTTGAGAAAGCAGGTTCTGTCCATGAGTTTCTATGGAAAGAACCTTCTTAAGAATTTAAAAACAGGGCGCCTGCGTGGCTCAGTCATTAAGCATCTGCCTTCGGCTCAGATCATGATCCCAGGGTCCTGGGATCGAGCCCCGCATCAGGCTCCCTGCTCAGCGGGAAGCCAGCTTCTCCCTCTCCCACTCCCCCTGCTTGTGTTCCTTCTCTCGCTGTATCTCCCTCTGTCAAATAAATAAAATCTTTAAAAAAAAAAAAAAAGAATTTAAAAACAGCAACAACAAAAAAAGCCGGCTGGGAATGGGGGTGTAGACTAAAACACTGCACTCACTTGACCATCTCTCTAACATCTATTATCCGTGAGCGGAAGCAGCATTGCACAGAGCGTTGGTGGTCAGACTGTGAGCTCATCGCGATTATCGAGTGACTTGTTGAACTGCAGATTCCTGAATTCTCCCTCAGTCGTTCTGACCCAAGCAGTCTGGGACGGGGCTCAGAGATGGGCATTTAGCAAGCACCCAAGTGACGCTGATGTAAGTAGTCCCCCCTGCACACCACGCTCTGGGAAACAGGGGCCACCATTCCTCAAAGCGAGATCTGCAGTTTGGGGCTAGTTTGAGAAAGCTTTCTCAAGATCCGGGATGAGAAGAGGACAGATATCAAATGTAATCCTCTTTTATACTAATTTGAAGGAGTAATTTTATGCCTATTGAATCTAACAATCACTTTAAAAATAAGGCTTGTATTTTAAATGTCCTTCATTTCACTATTCCAATAAATCCTTTTCATTGTATTTCAGGAACTACTGATGTGTGACAGGTTGTGGGGGGAAAACCTGATTCTTCACCGACAGTTTGCGAAGCCCTGGCTTTGGACAAAGAGTTCACGCTCTGTCATCTCAAAACCCCAGATTCAAATTCTGGCTTTTCTATCTGTCCATTAGAGGAGGATAGGCCAGTTCGTCAACTTCTATAAGCCTGGTGTCTTCATCTGTAAAGGATGGATAATAATACTTTAAAATTTGCCCCTGCAGGGTTGTGGTGACAATTTAATGATAGACTTTATCACTTTGTTGCAGCTAATAATTAGTGAGCTTTTACCGTGTGCTAAGTGCTTTCCATAAGGTAAAGCTCCTGTAATTTGGCAAAGCTCATTTAATTCCTGCAGCAACGAGTGCCTGAGGCAGATTCTGCTATCAGCCACTTCCACAGTCCCCAGAGAGGTGATCCAGGCTGCTGACTCACTCCCAGCCCTTAGCTCCTGAGTTCTATCAGCGGGAGCCAGCATAGGTCAAAAAATTAATAGTTACGTCAAAATATTTCTGACAAGCCACAATTTTGCTCAAGTTAGAAACATGGTAAGCAACAGGAAACCAACTTGTAGTTAATCAATCTGCAGAGAGAGTGAAAGGAAGCCAGGAGAGATTTCACAGTGTCTGGGTAGCTGTGTTTGCCAGTGTTTACCTGAGGGCAAGCCCAGCCTCCGAGCTAATGGTGGGAGAGAGGGAAATCCTGCCCAGATCAAAGCCCTGAAGATAAAGGGGCTTTCATTCCTGCTTGCCCCAACCTGTTCCAGACCCTGGCTGCAAAAACTGTCTCTTAACAGAGATTAGATCTTTTCCCAGCCAGGCAGGCACTGATGGAGAAGGAAGGCCTGAGTACACTTCCCTGAGGTTTTCGAAAAGCATGAGAACAGAACTCGGTGGGGGGTACTGAGCCCCCACCACAGATGGTGCAGCTGCTCTGTGGTTTCTGACCAGGGCCAGCCACTCCGAATGGGTAAGGAGAGCTCTGGACTCAGGATGAACAGAGCCACGGCAAAGGGAAATCACAGGCCATTTGCTACTGTCTTCAACCTCATGCCTTCCACAGTTGTATATTTGTAGAAATATTTGCCTTCCCATTTGACAGGTACCTGACTGAAAGGAGGCACTTCGCACCCCAACAGCTTCCTCTCTGGATGATGCCCACTACCCAGTACAAGCGCTCAGAGCCCCAGCCCCAGCCCGTATCTTGCAGTCTTACCACACCATGAATCACTGTGCACTCCACTCCACCAGTCAGAGTTGAGCCAAGAAAGAAGAGCAGAAGAGCTTATAAGGAGGGTTGAACAAGCACTGCACGCCTCGCAAGCAATAGGCCCACCCCTTTTTCCTTCAGCCCACACCCAACAGAGAAGCTGAGAGAACAGAAAATGGGCCTCCCTCCTCCTCAGGAAGTGGGACTGTTTCACCTCTTAATATTTAAAAAAGAATGATGTTTATATGATAGCAGTTTTTACACATACAAATGGGTACAGGGAGTAACACAATGAACTTGATTTCAGAATCCAGCTCCAAAGAGTACCAACAACTTGCCAACTTGATGTGTTCCCCTCCCCCTCTTCCTTCTCTGGTGTAATTAAAAAAAGCAAATGTCAGCCCTCGAATCCGTCTCCATCACCAGCTCTTCTCCATTGGCGTTCCATGAGAAAATGAAGCCCTAATGTCCTACGACATCCATTTATGTCATAAATGAACTTACCTCGATGGCATCCAGGATGGTATTAGCTATGTGTCATCCTTGGGAGACGTGGGACCAGAGGCCCTCAAATAATTTTCTATGGAGCTTAATTCTCTATAATATGCCACACACACCCTGGGTTCTGCTAAAAAATACATGAGGATACATATGGAACCACAGTGCCATTAATACCCAATCCACATTCCAATTTTTACCAGTTCTCCCAAAATTTACACTAAATTCCTTAAATGAGGATCCAAACATTTTGTGTGGATGATATACCACTCTCAACTCTCTTTTAATTTATAGTAGTTCCCCACACCCTTATTTTCCTTTTTTTAGGACATATATTTGTGGAAGAAACGAAGTCGTCTGACCCATGGAATGTGCCTAGTACTGAATCTGGTGGAGGACCTCCTTATGGTATTGTTTAACTTACTCCTCTCTGCTCTGTGTTTCCTGTAAACGGAGTGTTAGATTTCAAGGCTTGTTGAGATTCCATGGTTTCAAGTTTAATGGTTCTCCCAAGTTTTTTATATGTAGGAGGGACTAAGTCCTGGTTGTCTAGGGGGGTTCAGGGTAAGGGACATAAGCAGAGAGGCCTGAGCTCCTCCACTTTGCAGCAGTCCCAGAGTCCGTGAGAACAACACGCACAAATACTTAGAGAGAGAGAGGCTCATTCATGCTTCCAACGCTTATTGCCTACTGCGATCCAACCGGAGATACGGCCGTGCAGAAATCAGCCAGAAATTCCACACCCCCCCAGAACTTGCCTTCCAGTGAGGGCAACAGTGGAAGAGTAAAACAAAATAAATATGTATGTGATGCTTTGCAAGTGGATAACTGCCATGCGGAAAATTAAAGCAGGGAAGATGGAATAGGGACAGCAGGGTGTATGAGGGCAGGGAGCAGATCAGTGTTAAATTGGATGGTCTGAAAGCTCCACTGAGAAAAAGGCATTTGAGCAAAGACTAGAGGGAGGTGCAAGAGGGGTCATGCAGATTTCTGAAAGAAGGCAATTCCAGGTGGATGGAACAGCAAAATCCCTGGGCAGGGGCTGTCCTGACCTGTTTCAAGAACAGCATGGAGGCCAGGAACAGAGCAGGTGAAGAGAAGGGTGGCAGACGATGAGGCCAAGAAGCGTTGGGAGCCAGATCACGTAGGGCCTTTGGCTGGTGTAGGAGTCTAGCTTTCACCCCGAAGAAGGCTCGGCTGACTTAGGTTGAAAGGGATCATTCTGGCTACTGTGCCGAGAATCAAGAGCTGTACATAGCAGGGGGCAGGAAGTAAAAAAGAAAAAAAAAAAAGGAAGACTTTTCAAAAGGTTATTGCAACAATCCAGGTGGAAAAGGCCATGAGCCATCTACTAAGCTCCTTCCCAGGTGCTAGCAATTTAGAAATGTTACCAAACTGAATTCTTACCAGCACCCTATAGGGTGGGCTATTACGAATCCTCTTTTATAAACAAAAAGGAAGCTCCAAGAGTTTAAGCCATTTGCTCAAGATATCATTGCCAATGGTCAAACTAGATGAGTCTAACCCCCCAAACTGCTCGTATGATCCAACATATATCTCTCTACTCAGGGCCCTTCAAAGGGCTCCTAAGAGCCTGGCTGCTTTCAACTGCCATGGCTGGTCACCATCTTGGACCTTCTGGCAACACATCTTTACTCTGCCCTGATCACCATCTCCTTAACCCCTCAGTGTGCAAACCTCATCCTCCTCTGTACCTTAGAACCTAAATTTTCTGTCCCTAGAGACCCTGAATCCCTACTGCCCCCAGAGGGTACCTTAGTGAACCACAATGCCTCTGAGAAGCAGTCCACTTGTCCTGGCTTCCAGAAGCCTTCACCTTGATGGGCTCCCCTTTCTTTTTTTTTTTTTT